CCGTCGATGTCCGTCACTAGGCCCCTGGATTGAGAATTCAGCTAGGCACATGGGAAGTGCCGTTAATAATAAAACCTGTGACAGATTTATGACAGAATTTTACGCAATACGTCATAACAAGTCATGGTAAAATATATTATAATTTATACAATATTTAAGTATTGGCAATAAAAGAGAAAATACATTATGCAAAAGAATAAATAAAATAAATCATTCATCAGTTCCACACAACAGTTTTTATTATATTTTTTTAAGTAAGTACTTATTGTTAGTAGAAAATACTACAATTATTTCAATTTTTCATTATATTGATCTTTTTAATCATTATAATAAAATGAAATCGGAATGTAACATTCAAGCGTTTATCTCATTCTCGACGTTAAGTGCTTTCGATTTCGCAACTAGACGATCAAAGATCATTATCTAATGCGCGTGGCACTAAACCTGAATCTGTCTTACGGTATGTACTGTATTGCATATATGGAAGCGAATCGAGCAACCGGCACCGGGAAGTTGGAAGGGAAAGTCCACGAACACATGAATCTTTAATCACGGTAATCGGGGAAAAGGTGAGCATGTTACTAGTTAACATTCGATCACAAGACTGTTAGAAACGCGGCCACACAAAAAGATAGCTAGAAGAAAAAAGAAAAAGTGCAAGTCGCAAGTTGACTCGCGACTTACAAGCGATCGAATGCACTAAGCAACGAACACTACACGATACAGTAGAAAGTGAGATAAACATTAATCGTTCAGACACGCCCAACGTGATTATTCGAGAAAAAAATTAACTTCGACTCGTTTCGAAAATATCTGTAATCAGCTGTCACGAGACAAAATGCCGCTCCAGAATCGCACGTACGACAAATTCTACGCAAGTTTTATCTTGCAGAACGCGGAAACCGAGCGACATTTCGAGGAACAAGTCGCGACACGCATGCTGATTATTGAGGTCATATATTTTTTTCTTTAAGTAGTTTCGACGAAAGGATATTGTAATATTGACTAAAAATAGCGTATATTTAAACTAATATTTAATTTTAATTAATTTTAATTAATTTTAATTAATTTAATTTTAATTAATATTTGTTGTTTTAAAAAATTGTTTTATATTTGTCATTTTCTTTGTCTGAGTATCTATCTTATTTCATGATAGGTTTAATTCTTATAAGAAAAGAATATATGTGGGTTTAGCTCTTATAAGAAAAAAGTATATATGCAGCTTAGTATATATGACAGCAAAGCGAATTGACAGCAAAGTGATCGAACACAAACTATTCTCTATGTTGAAATCACTCCACGAGCTTGCAGCAAGATTGCAAAAACCTGAACACTCGTATCCGCGGCTAATTGGGTCGTGAAATGCACTTTTGGTCAGCGACCTCGATAATTAAGAAGCATTACAATTCGTCACTCTCTTTACGATGCAATCCAACGATGCAATTAAATGCACGACATTCATCATTCCTTTATTCACGCTCGTTATCTTTCAACGGAAGGTGGGGTTGAGTAGCTCTGACAAAACGACTTCCCGTTTTACTTTCGCGTCCTGCGACTACGATAAAATGAAACAAGAATGCATTCAGTTTCGCGATACAAACGTGAAAAACGAAAATACAAAATACAGAGTGAGATAAATTCATGATCCAATTAATATCTGAAAAAATATTTTGCAACGCATAGTAAAAAATGCATGTGACACTTTTAGAACATTTCATACTTTTTTTTATTTTTTAATGTGATGAGATAGTATCGTGAAACACACACACATATACACACACGCGCGCGCGCACACGCACACACACACACACACACACACACACACACACACACACACACACACACGTACATGCATATTTACGAGATTCACATAATGATTAAGATTTTGATTTCGGATATATGCGAGAAAATCTTCAAGACTGAAATAGTGCAAAATACGACACTCGTTAATAAAATCGTCGCATAATTTATTTCCGGTATATATGATTTGTATATGCAGTACGATTAAGCGCACGCGACTTTATTTCGCCTGCATCGCGTGCTAAAAGAAAACGTGCGAATCGTGGAAAAATGTGCCTGTATTCTACATTGAAAACCTTTCGGTTAAGTAAAAGAAAAAAGAATAACATAAGGCAGCTGCGTACTTACATATAATTTCATGGCGTGAAAGCTGGTCGATTCGTTCGAGGGTGGAGTGTTTCTGAGACGGGCGCGCGGTCATCAGAACAACTTTATAGCCAGCCACGTAAAAGGGGCCTTTCGACGACGGGGATGTGACTTGGCGAGAGCCACCTCCATCTTGCACCTCGTCGGCCGGCCGGCCGGCTGGCCGACGTCGTGTCCCAACAGTCATTGCTCTTTCTGCAAACGCGAGCGTATTAAAGAAAATCGCTTCCGGCGCAAGTAACACTTACGTCAATTTTATTATTGAATTCTATTTGCAGACTGTGTCTCAATAAATTAAATTTTGATCAATAAGTGCTCTTTAATATTGTAAATTTCTATTTTGATCTTTTGATTTTTGTCTGTTATTTATTTAAAAAAAAAAAAAAAATTTTACAGAATTTTTTTTTACTCAAATTAATTTAATTTTAATATATTTTATAATAATTTATATATTATATATGATATTATTTTCATTTTATATAATAATGAGAAATACATTTTTTTGCAAAGGTGGCTCAAGTTTTGTTCGTTTCGGTTTATCAAGTTTTTTTATCCAACTATGACGCATTTATCTCTTACGATGTATTTTATTGTGAAAAGTCTTGAGTACAATGATGGAAAACTACGAAATAGCTGCAGTGGAATGCAGTGCAATACGATGTTTCCCAGGCAATCGCCATTCAAAGGTTACGATGTAAAGACCACGAAGATCTGCAATTAATTGCCGACATTGAATTCAATCATTGTCCTGTCAAGTTACGTAAAGGCGCTACACTCCGTTGCTTCTAGCATTAAAGTATTGATAATATGGATTTAAAAGAAAAATTAAATCTTAAAGGAAAACAAAATAAGTGAGTAAGAAGTTTTAATTTATTGCAATTTTGGTACGATCGATATAGTGTGATTACACACGCAAAAATGTAATCAAGGGAATTGTTCTTTGAATTATGTCGCATTATTCCGAACTAAAACCTATGTTATTCTGAATTCTCATCTCAACCCTAGAAATTACAGATTTCAATTTTCGCAATAGATTCAATAATAGATCTTTGATGCTCTGTATCATTAAAGTCTTATTGTTAGTTCCATAGATTCCTATTTCAGATACACAATTATGGAAGCGTATTTCTCCTTTATTTGACTACAAAATCGTACGGCATTATTCTTACTCACAGATGGAAATGCCGTGTTACGTCAGTTTACAGTAGAAAGTTACACCGTGTCGCATCACGATAGTTAGATCGTCGATCTCCCGTGAAATTATAGATTACCCAGAACTTGTATTGTATGAACATGCGAAAACAATTCTTACAGCATTATTCGATACTAGTAAAAAAAATATGTCCCAACAAGAAACGACTCTGAATTGATGTTAAATCAATATCTAATTGGTATCGAAATTATTGTATCGATATCGATTGTTGGATATCTATTCGATGAGTTATTTCTCTCACTGGAACATTTTTTTATGGATAATGAATAAAAGGGGTAATGAATAAAAGTATGTAAGTGATACGTACAAGATAATTCACGAAGAGAACGCAAAATTATAGAAACTGATTTATCACAGATAATAGCATTTACAATGGGAAAAATGTACAATGTATAAAAAAATTAATTGCAAATAATTATAAGACAAAATTACTGCTAATCTTATTAAATAGATATTTTATGTATTCAAATGTAATAAAATAATTCAGTTATTTTACTTTAATGAATGCTTTTTACAACATATCTTTAAGCATATTAATATCCATTTTTATCATTATTTCTCCTACATTGCAAATAATCTTTGGCTTCTTTATTATGTATGTGAACGCATTAATTATATTATTACGCAATTAACTATATTATAATTACTAATGCAGATTTGTCATGAATCACCGTATAAAATTACGATTGCAATTTCCTTCGATTTCTTCAAGTAGGATCGGTAAACTCAAAGGGCATGACCTTGGCGAATTATCTATTTGTACAAGAAGGCGCCGGTAAAGAGTAAATAAAAAAGAAAATTACGTAAAATGAAAGCACAGCTACATTCGCAACAACTTGATGGGTGCATTAACATACGAAGCGTGAAGGCCACGAAAATGGATTGTCAGTCTTCCTTGTTCGGAGAAATGCTATTTAGCCATGCTTTTTCGATTGTGAAAACGAAAATAGGCGTATGATCAGGCGATACGCTTTTTCGAATTCGCACATTGTATGTAAATGTTCTCACCTTGTATCGTCACGCATCAATAAATAAAATCCGCCTGATCGGATTTATAATTCCGTATTAAATAGTTTTTTGCGATCAATAAGAATCCAATCCCTTTCTAATTAGAATCATGAAATCTATTAATAAAATTTATATGTTACAAGCTGTCGCACATACTTCTTTCTCTCGTCAGAATATTCACGCCACACAATATAATTTCTGATATTTATGTGATTTAATTTAAAGGAATTTTTCAGATTATGCCAGTTTATTTCCTTTTTTTTTTTTATATCTTAAACGCGCTCTTATAGTAATGTTATATTGCGAATTTCTGCGTAAGACGAAATATTGCTTTCTAACATCGTAAAGAGATCTGATATCTTTATTCAATAGAAAGCTAAAAATCGTCTAACTTTCTCTATTTGCTCTAATAGTGTAAGATTTAGTAACTATCTTCATCTATAATTAAGCAAAGTATAAGTCGCGCAAAACGTGAGACTTCCTGAAAGGAGTAAACGATAAATAGACTTTTATCAGATTTTCGTTCGCACGTTTAATTCATCTTTTTACGACCGGAAATTCCGTCAAGTTCTGCGAGCTCAAATAAAAGCGAAGATTGCGTTACAACCAGGTGAATGACTTCCATGATACCAGAAGCGGAAACGTTTATTTCGTATAAAAAATTACATTCTTTATGCTACCGTGTATATAATCAAACATTCTCTATCTTACATGCATACGCAAAAATTTGAATAGCTACATTTTATTAATAATAAAATTATAAAATTACAATTACAATATTGAGTGAAATAAAAAGCAAATAGAAAATTAATCGAAAGGAAATTTGATAGATCGGTTTTACTTCTTATTTTTGTCTTGATAAACTTTCTGTCATCATGATTAATTATATTTCAAATAAATTTTCGTAAAATTTAATTAAGTATTTTTTGCTTCTGTGATTTTCATTTATTTTCACATATTTTTTTAAACACATTGTTCTATGTTAATTATGAATTGAATAGTTTTTTTTTATAATTAGTATATTTAATTATAATTGTCGGACGAACATTCATTCATTTTTGGTCCCTAAAGAAAAATTCCGCAGTGACCGGGTTGTTGGCAAATATCATACACGGTAGACATATATCGTTACATCAAGAAATGGTATAATAATTTAAAAACATAAGAAACTCGCGCACGTTTTAACAAAGTCTCGATAACAGTAAAATCTAAAAACTATTTCGGCGTATGAGAATGGGATTCAACTCGATAGAGTTTTAGAACCAATTGACTTTTCTTCAAAAGTTAAAGACAAGAAATAGAATATTAAATTATATAAATCCATAATTATATTATATATTATTATATATTATGGACCAATTTTCGGTCAATGGCGCTGTTCCTCGTCGATCGGCTTGTTCTGCGAATATTCCGCGTCAATGTTATCATCACTTGGATAGTAAATCTTACTACGGTAATAATAGAGACCCTTGGCATCATTGGGCAACGGCTTGGGGACGAAAACGCTTTTCGGTGTATATTGAATACGATTCGCTGTAAGATCATATGGTATCTGTGCCTGATATTTTAACAATTGCTTGATCTCCGTAGGCATGTTCCTGTCCAAATATAGAGTAGGCATTGGAGATTCTGGTATGGCTGCTAATGGAAACGTTACGATCTGTTGCTGCTGCTGTTGCTGTTGTTGTTGCTGCTGCTGTTGTTGTTCGTAATCCTCCTTATAAGCGATTCTATCCTGACGCTCTACTCTTCTATCGCTGTCATACCTGGGGTGCGCTTTTTGAGGATCAATCGACTGGTATTTCTCTGCCGGTTGTAAATATGCACCATGAGGATATTCAGAAGCGGCAGGAGCCGGTTGCTCACGTTGTTGCGGTGCCGCCGCAAAATAGTTGCCGCCATAAATGAAAGATGTAGGATCAACGTAAGGAGCTTGCGGCTGATAGACCGAATCGATCAGCTGTTTAATATGATTCGGCACTGCCGAATATGGTTTGTAGCTGTAATACTGTGGACCTTGGGCCTGCTGTTGGACTTGCTGAGGCTGAGGCCGGGCCGGTTGTTGGGCTTGTCGAAGACGAAGGGGTGAGCCACCCTCAGCACGTTGAGACCGCTGAGCGTTCGCTTGCTGCGACCGCAACTGGCCCTGGAGCGCGAGGTACTCCGAATGGAACCTCGAATCTGCAACGAAAAAAACGCTCCGTCATTGATTAAGGCTGGTCGTCGATTATCGACGTTGCTTACGCAATATTGACCTCAGTCGAGGATCATAAAGGAATTGTTCTAAAGATCTGGGATGTGAAAATCTATTCTTGCGTGCATACAATAGCAGTAGCGGTAACAGTTAATTGCGATACATCGGATCCAAGGTTTCCGAAGTACATCTTCAACAGCAAGTAATCAAAGAAACTCACCGTCACTATCCGCATACTTGATTTGCTCTTGTGGCGCGCGAACAGATCTCCCTATATTTTCTGTTTTTACCCACGCGATTGATATCATCGCAATAAGAAAAATCTGCAAATTTATAATAAATAATAGCACGATATAAGAACTAGTTATTATGATATATTGTGCAATATCATAACAATTAGCTTTAAATTAAAAGTAATAAAACTGAATAAATGTTTCAAAGATAAATTCATAAAATGTCAAATTATTATATTCAATTTAAGTTATTTTTAATCAGTTCTTATCGGCCGCTCTTACTCAATAGTTAATTTAACTGAAATAATAGAGTTAAATAATTTAACTGAAGAAATGCATTAAGTTTAACTTAAATTAATATAAATTAGTATAAATTTAGTTCATTATTTACTAAGTGCATATGATAATATGAACGTTGTTTATTTTAAAACTAAGCAATTCATCTACAGAAATGAATTGATTCACAATTGAATGAATTGATTTTTTATATATATGAAAGTTAAAAATGGTAAATTTTTTTTAATTCAAAGAATTAGATACCATTGCTTCTTTGATATACATGTGCAACGTAAAAAAAATGTCTCACGAATAATTATGCGATAAAATTATATTAAAAGATAATGTATATTTAATTAAATAAGACTGATATTAAAATAATTAACAATCACACACTTGAAATTAAAGAAACCGAAAAACATTCACCCTTAATATTCACACATCAGCAGAAAAACCTGCGAAATAAAATTTGATAATATTGGAATATTTCTCGTCACTATTAATATCGACACAATAGAAGTGGCCAATTAATCAAAATATCCTGATGACACTCACTGATAGTTTCATGGCTGCGTACGGAGAGAGATGCGGATTGTCGCGCCGAGTTTACTCGTAGAAATCAGCCGGCGAAGTCGGCGTAGCTCTTCTATATAGCCGTAGTCGCCCCGACGTAATTGGTGACGCGGGTACGCGACTGGTAGCTATCTACTTTTAGAGTAATTCTATCTCAGATATCTAACGATAGAACTCTGACAAAAGGCTTACTTCCTCCCCGAGGATATATTATCATTCGTTCTAAAAATTCGTCTCACTGGTATAACGCTATATAACTGGAATTATTTATGTCAAACGTGATCCCACAGAAATTCAGAATATTTGCGAATCCGAAAGAGGAAAGTCTACAATATATTTTTCTTACAGTTGAAAGGAGCCTTGCGAAATATCAAATTCTGATTTTAATAATAACTTTGTACACATATAGGTTACGTAAATTGATAAATTTAAAAATGATCAGTTGCGACTAATAAACGATTTTTTAAGGATTAAAATTACATCTTATATGTAAAACAATTTTCAGCTTTTTTGTTATATCTCAAAAACTATATCATAATATCAAAAAATGTTTTTAAAAAATTTTTATAAATTTTTAGAAATTTATAAAAAGCAAGAAAAGCTATATTTAAAATATTTTACATATAAGGGGTGAATTTTTTTTGTTTAATGATCACAACTAACATTTTTTAAATTCGTCTATTTACGTAATGAGCGAGATTCCTTTATCAAATTAAAAAGACTAAAGTTAGATTAAAGTAAAAGGAGGTTGAGCACATTTAATTTTACGTTCTTCGAAACAATTTTTTTTAGATTTTAAGAATGGTGAAATCATTAGACTTTATGCAATTTCGAAGGTTTTAACGAGGCTACAATGACGTAACATCGGTATGGTGTTTTTTTAACTAAAATCCTCATTTCAGAGTACTAAAGCAGAGCTGTAAGGTTCGCGTATGCACTTAAATTATTTCAAATGAGGGTAATGACAAGATAGAAACGAAAAGAAAGCGCGCAGCGAATGCCCAGCTATAAACGAAACAATAAATGTAGGATTGCATAAAGTGGAAAAAAGTTAGAATCAGTCTTTTGCTTCGTGCATTTGTATTTTCTTATATTTAATGTTGTGAAATGGTAATTAATATAATTCCACGGCAAAAAAAGAATATAATTATAAGAAAAGGATTTGTAATAAAAGTAATTTTTAGCTGGTCAAGAAATCTCATCACGTATAATTAAAAACAATTTTTTTTATTCCATTGTTTTCTCAGTTTTTCAAAAAATATCAATATAAATTTACTTATTATTTCTTATTAATTTTATTATTTTCAAAAAATAAGGAAAATGAATTATTGTTTATTATTTTTATTAATTTTTTAAATCAATTATTAAATTTTAATTTGCCTAATATAAAATTTCATGCATTTGAAAATTGACAAAACTAAAATTAGATTTAGATAATATAGAACAAAAATTTATAATATAGAACAATTATTTCTAATAAATAAATCAAGCTTGAAGCAACGCGGATCTCTCTGGTTAAACGATCGAAGTATGCTGAAAAAAAAAAACTATTCCTAGTAGTGTGTTGTAAGCAACTACGTTGTCTCGCAACTTCGTATAATTAAATTTACGACGCGTAAACCGTCTGTGTTGCGCTAAATAATATGCTGCCAATCTACATCAGAGAGATAATCTATAGTCAAGCTAGACGAAATTAAGGGGATGAAAAGCAATAGAAGAAAAAAAAGGATCTACTTAGCTTAGATCTATAAATTCCACGGATAATGAACCACACCGGTTTTATATTGACGCGCGAAAAAACCTTTTGCACGTCGAGATAATTACGCGGCATGACGCTCGCGAGCATCTAATAGTCTAATGCGATGAGAGTGCAACATAACTGTTCGTGAACAACGATCATTACCTTCCAACTGAACACATAGACATATTAATCTCGTAAATTAAAATTCTATAAATGTCTGCACGAAAAACAGCGTATTCCGCTGTTTTTCCTGCAGTTAAATACAATTAAACTTTTATATCTACGTTATTGATACTCGAGTTTATAAGTAATAAATATATTATACATTAATCCTCTAGTAAGTTCAATGTTGTAATAAGATATATGGCTTCCTTCTAGAAATAGAATTTTTTAATTTGATAAAAAAATTTCCGATTGTTAAACAATTTCTTTCAAGAAATTGGTTAGCGTAGTAATTTATTAACGGATATGATGCATAAGACCATCGTGGAAAATTAAGTAGAGACTAGACAAGGAAACGCGTTTTGAACAAAACCATGAAAATCTTGTAAAGATGTTTTTCGACGAATCTTATTAATTCCTTTTCCTGATGATAAATTAATGTTATTTTCTGAAGTTACAAACAAAACGTAGCAACACATGGCACCTGGAACGGTCGTCAACCTACGTCTATACGCGCGGATGTAGACGATGAAAAACTTATGGCCGCGATAAGATTCGAAAGGAGCGATTAGCGGGAGACGAGAAAAAGAAGGATTTGACAGGAGGAAGCGGGCGGAGAAAGTCAATTATTCCTGGCCGATCAACTGGGAAGATCTTGTGTTTGCGGCTCTTGATATTGCGGCGCGGCCGGGAACTTACTTCACGGACATGAATGCAGAAATGCATTTCCTTCCGTTCGGCGTTCGAATGATGATCCGCGATTTGCGATATTTCGACCGACACGATGTACTTACACAATGTACAGCGCTCGTTAAATATCACATGAATTAATTCGCTACAATTCATTTCCACAAAATATCCTTATGGCTAATGTAGAAAGTTACAATGTTAAACATTTCAGTTTAATAAAAGACGTCATGCAGGAATAGAAATTTAATATTATTATATATTATTATTATATATATATAAATTTAAT